CATCGTACAGCGTAAATCTCACGGAACTTACCGAACATCTACCGAAGATTAATATACTGTGTGCATCGACCGTGTAATCAGTATGTAATTGACAGGTTAATAAAACCAAACAATAAAGAGTGTTCATTTTTGTATGTGACTGGGTAACAAAAAGCAATTGAAATTAACCTGGGAATTACGCCAACATAATATTGTGGACAAAAGCGGAAGTAAAAAGTGTGTAAGCCCGTATAATTTTGTGCAATTATACAAAAACCAATGTGCTCTCTATACTCAGGCCAATAAGTACACATCGATAACGTCACCATTAGTCATAAGGATTGTGAACATTCTTTTTTTCAAGTACAAGTTTATTTACTTTACTAGTGGTTTTGTGAAATAACGACACTTTTGGATAGGGTCATGTATTCAAACGTCTATAAAATCAATTTAAACCTTAACCTCTCCTACTTTTATTTCTTAAAAATGAAATTTAAACACGCTTCAACTGTGACATTTTCCGTAATTCCCTGATAAAATAATTATGCGATAAACTTACCCCACGATAAATGAAACGCTTTACATTACACACGTACATGTTAGATCTGGCGTTGATATTTTTTGCTTATTCATAACATACCGCATCGTATCGATTTGCCGAACAGAAGCACATAAAAAACGACAGACTAGAACCCAGGCTAATGTAGATCTACTTTTTGAAACATATTATTTTTGGAAAATTCTACTTATAGTTAACTTTTTATTCTGTCTTAATCATGTGAAAAAATTTTTTATAAATCCAATTGTTTTTTATTAAAACCAAAAATCATTATTTTACAATTTAAATATTCATAATTTTCGTAGTTTTTCCCATTTAAATATTTTTAAAGTTTTGTTGTAAAAAATACTAGCACTTTGGGGGTACATGTATAAAATCCAACCCTTTTTTAAAAAAAAATTAAGAACCTATCCTAATTTTTATCTAAAAATATAAAAGGGAAATTTTTGCTTAGTTTTTTTTTTTAAAAACCCAAAAATAAAAATTTTCATGGTTTTTATCATTACATTTAAACGACAAAGGAACAAAGTGTAAAAAAAAAAAGTTTTTATAATATATATTAAATATCAACACATTGAAAATCAGATACCACAGATCCATACAAACATATTATTAGGATAAACAAGGGAACAAGTTACGTTAGATAATCGACATGCTTACGTTTTTCAATTCATTTGGTTATGATTACTCTTAAGTTGCCCTTATTTATGATTACCCTTCATTGCCATTGATCGAAAAGCCTTATGACAATGTGCATGTGACCAAACAAACATTCCTTGATGGTGGAATTCACATCTATGTAAATTTTCCGTTTTAATATATCTGCAATTGTTCATTATTTAGCCATAGCTTATATTCCAGAATACTACATTTAAAAAAACTAGCTCGAGTTAAACGATCTTCAATATTTTGAAAAAGTAGCACATGCATTTGTAACATTGCTTTCTTTCATTTATAAAATTTTATATCTTTCAGAATCAAAACAAATCACAGTTGTGGTTCATTTTTACGACAGGGTTATAATTATACATGTACACACTTACTCAGAAGTTTGACAGTTATGCATACAAAGAAAAAGAAGGAAGAAGGGTCATCAGATTTCTGACAGAGGAATACTTAGGTCATTTTCATTTTGAGCCGGAATGTCATAAACAACAATCAATTGTATGAGAATGGCAAAAGTTAATGGTCCAATACGATACAGACACTTTTGACACAAGGGACTTTACTTACATATCTTATACATAGCATATGTAAAGATCTTCCAGGTATTACATCTTATTTTTTGGCCAAAGGACTTCAATGTATTTTCTAAAAAAGTCAAATATAGGTAAAGATGCATGTCATTATATCTAAACTCTTGGCATTATTACAAAAGTACATGTTTTTTTACATATCTATATTTACTAAGAGTTAAAGTATTTCCCGTGACAGGGTCAATTTTAACACTATAGGCATGACTTTTTATAACGGCAAGATAATATTACATGCCAAACATCGAAGCTCTTGGCATTGTATTTTCTGAGAAGAAGTATTTTCAGATATGTTTACTATACACATATATATGAATTAAGTGACCCCTGGATTGGGACTTATTTTGACCCAAGATTAATTATTTATGTACCTTATGTACAGGTTCACTTGGCAAATACCATAGCTCTGGGCATTGCAGTTTCATAAAAGAAAACCTAAATGTATTTTCCGATATAAGCCTATATTATCTAAGGGGCTCCACGTGTGGGGCCATTTTTGAAGCCAGGGTATGATTTTTAGAATTTTTTTAGTTTATTACTATCTAAGCTCTGAAGTTTGTAGTTCCCGGTGTGGGGGGTGGGGGCAGATATTGCATTATTAAAGTATATTTAAGCTCTTTTGAACTACTTATGCGTTCGACTGAAACCATGTATAAAAATTTTAGAGGGTTCTACCGAAGGATCAGTCCTGTGACGTTTGGTAAAAAAATCCAATGTAAAGTTTCTAGAGAATGTGGACAACGACAGGTGTAGAACGACGGACACAAATGAGAATGAAAAAACTAAGACCAAACGCCTAGCTTGATCAAACATGATATTTTTTAAATCATACATATAAACTTTTATTTATGTTTCAGCTAATATTGTATACAATTATTTAAATATTATTAAGCGGTTTTGAAATGACGGTTCGTATGTATGTAGAAAGATTTCAGGAAATAACCTAAAACAATTTAACAATATAATGACAATACAACCTTTCATTTTTGTTCCAGTTTAATATCTTGGTAACAATTAATACTTTTACTCAGTAAAACGGCATAGGTTTTAAAACTAAATACCCGTCAATTACAACCAGTCCTTAATATGATACTGTCAAATATAGTGTAACCACATACGTAGCTATAGAGATACACATGTACTTCCGCGAACAGGTTTTATAGTACTGCTGTTCGCTGAATCGAAAGTCAACCAGAACCGTGACATATTTATGTCATGGTGTAATTCAATAAATTTGGGTGATCTGAACAAAAGCTATTTTGATACAGGTAATATATAGTTCGATATATTTGGGACACTTCAGTCTATATTTTGAACACAGAACGTTTGATTGATGAAACAATGCATCAAAGTTTATCAGCGGGTTCACATTTCATAAAATACCCTAATATCACGTGACGAGCGAGAATTTAGGTTTGGATACCTTTGCATGACATTTGGTGACCCGTGACCCAAATGCTATTTTTAATTGAAAGTATGAATAACGGTGAATTTATTCAATAACAGACATTGAACCAATTTTAAAACATGTTGGATTTATAATGTTTTGAGTGATGATTCATGATTACTTAAAATCATACACTTATTAAAAAAAATAGTGTATTATCCATTACTAAAAATAGATGCTAGAATTCCCAAAACTTGAAGTCCCGCGGGATTTCATTTGAAAGCAGACATTCTCTACATATTTCCCTAAAAAATAGTTGGGTACACAATGTCATTGAAGTTTCATTTAAAAACAAATCATGAATTGATTCAAAATTGATTTCTTTATCAAATGGTAATTTTATTTAACCCGAATGTGATTAATAAGGGTGATTTTACACCGTAGGGAACGTGTTACAGTATCGCGTTTTTCGGTTACAGTATAGAATTTTCAAGATGGAGGATTATTTATGGGAAGAGAGGTAGGTGATTTTTATTCAGGTCCATACTAATAGTAGTTAAGTTTCTAAAATATGTTTTTGTGCTTTGCTTGTAAGGAACAGAATCCGGTATCTAGTCATATAATTCTTCAGACCCTGCACCGCAGATTTATCTCTATATTGTCTCATAAATGTGTAGATTTGGCGGTTTAAAAATTTGAATCGAGAGACCAACGCATTTTTCTCCCATTCCGACATTATTTAAGCATGCCTAGATAAAGTAAATCTACAAAACGTTAGTCCTTTGTATTTAGAAACGTTTATAAAAGTAAATGACCAGTTGAACATATTTTCTTGTTGGTAAAATGCGTTTTAAAAAATAAACAATGTCACAGTATAGAGCGAGGTGAATTTTGCTGGGTTACAGCATAGACCTAGCGACTTTGATCCACTTTTGTTACAGTTTATACCCAGATTTCGGTTACAGTTAAGATACTTGCCAAATTTCAATCAAAATTCGTGTATCCATTATTTTTATGAAATACCATTCTATTTGATACATTCTTGAAAGTTTGTATTACTTTTTTTCTTCAGCAGAAAAAGTTATAGTTTGCTATTTTTCTTACTTTAAGTTTCAGATTGAGACTTTTTGCAGAATAAGTAATGTCCTAAGTAAGGACCGTTTTCACGACAACAACAGTAACTTTTATCGAATTGTATTGAGAGAAGAAAGATTATTGCTTGATTTCATTACACATTATAGAAATTAAATAGAGAAAAAAGAATCCTTAACAGAAGTCCAACACCGAAAACATGAAAATGTTGCATGCTCAGTTTGATTAAACCAGTTCGTGGACGGTACTGGTAACTGCAAGCTACCGTCCACGCCTCCTAGCACCGGCTTCAGCAGAATTCACATTAAACATGAACTGGTACACTTTAGATTTTTTAACATCTGTGGATGTGTTCATATGGCGGTTATCATGGAACTTTCAATGTAACACATTATTGCCATTCTATGAAAAGCGGCATATTACCCCCAGGTTAAAAATTGCGTGTGCCCTAAACGAGAATACAATGAGTGAAATGATGATAGGGAAATGACAGTTCTGCCCCACTATATACTTTATATAAATACCGCACACGTGCGGTATGATCAGTGAGGCGTGAAATCTATTTTAAAACATTGGCTTTTTCACTGAATTATTTTTAGAATTGGACTTTCCATATTTTGTTACTAAAATTAGCTCCTTTTTAAAGCGAATATTATGGAATTCTAATGCATGACAGTTCTGCAGCACTATATACCTTATACACGTGCGGTATGATCAGTGAGGCGTGAAATCTATTTTTAAACATTGGCTTTTTCATTGAATTATTTTTAGAATTGGACTTTCCATATTTTGTTACTAAAATTAGCTCCTTTTTAAAGCGAATATTATGGAATTCTAATGCATGACAGTTCTGCAGCACTATATACCTTATATAAATACTGCACACGTGCGGTATGATCAGTGAGGCATGAAATCTATTTTTAAACATTGGGTTTTTTAAAGCGAATATTATGGAATTTCAATATATAATTAGAACTGGGATTTTTTTTATAAGTGCCATCTTTAGAGTAACACGTCTGAGCATGTCAGTTTTAAATGATGCTTTTACATACACATAAACTACATGGCGTTATATTTTTTTTGTGAAGCAGACGACAAAATACCTGCAGTCAAAATAGCTTATGTTTAATATAGCGTGGAGCGGCACGCGCAACTACCCGATCTAATATAAAGAGGGTGTAATACTATCGTCTGTCATATAATGACAATTAACCGTCTTAAATGTTCAGCGGTAGATTGCCTAACGTTGTGCAACAGTTTAACTGGGAAACCAAATATATTTTTTAGGGAAACCAAAACCTATGACTGCTTTAAACCAGTGTTATCCAGATTTAATTATTAAATAGGTTCTGCTCAAACAAAACTGATTCAATTGAGTCTGGGAAGTTGGAGAGCTAACATCTTCAGTGTATTGTGCAGACGACAAGAAAATACTTTAAACGTTACAGTACCTTTACAGCAATATCGAAGGTAAAGTGACCTTAAACTATTCTGTCTGTTTCACATGAATTATCAACAATCAAGGTTGAATTTGTTTTCACTATTAACAGTTTAAAGCGTGTATATCAACGATTTATGTAGTATAAAATGAACTTTTTAAATAAAAACTGAAGTCTCTAAAATATTGTTAGAAACTACCACCTAGGCTGTATTTAAGAGAGGTAATTTCTACTACAATGATATTGACTGCCGACAATAGTAAATTATTAATATAAATTCAAAGAAGAGAAGGTGGTTTTTGATTAAAAGTTTGTAAGATTTTATAGCATGAAACTGCCGGTCATAGTATTACGTTTTAAAAATATTTTATGTAGTTAATTAAATTTTAAAACTTTAGGACGGAAAATTACCTATATAGTTTAAATCTATGAAATGACAAGACATTAACTTAATTTTGTAGATGAATAGAAAACCATTAGAAAGTATTCACACGGTGGCAGACCTGGATGCGTGGGTCGAGGCAAATAACATTTCGAAAGATGATCCTGATATTAGCTTACATAGACTTCAATTAATGGCTGAAGAAGTAACAAAATATGAAGCTGTAACATGTGGATTCTGTGCAAAGCGGTTTGTACAAAGATCAAGCTTACTTCGCCACATCAGAACTGTTCACGGAAATAGCAGCATAAACTGCCCGCACTGCCAACGACAGATGCGACAGCATGATGAAAATATTCCTCCGATTCAATCTCAAACGCAGGGCGCAGAAAACTGTGAGAAGAAATCTAGCAAAAGAAAATCGTCTGACCCTGTTGAAGGACCGTGTGAGAAAAAGACTAATTTAATAAAGAACGACAAGCAATGCAACTGGTGCTCAAAGCAGAAAGTTTTGTTACCTGGTAAACCCTTCTGCAAAACTTGTGGCGACAAGGGCAGGGAATGCAAGTGGTGCCATCGCCCATTACCAGAACGTTTTTTCAGTAAAAGGGCTGATGTTTGCGACAGTTGTGTAAAAAGGCGTGAACACTGGAAAAATAAAAGTCAGCACGGAGCTGGCAGGACAGCCCTAAATAATACAGCAGAGACAACAACATTAGATCCCTCGCCAAATAATATATGGGATGTTTTACAATATTTTAAAGACTCTCAGAATTCAATTGAAGACATTCTAATCAACAGGCTGGAACGACTGAAATGTATGAAATGGTTCATGACGTTATTTGTTAAATTTGTGAAATACAATCAAAACAATGAAGCCGTTTATGCTGAGCCTGTATTTAGATCCTCCAGCTTTGGATGTACAAATGCTTCTCAAATTGAGGATCAAATCGCCGGGGCTTTCCAAGATTTACATAATGGTTACCAAAACTTTGAAAGGGATGGTAGTGGGTGGTCTATTGACGTAATTATTAAACTCGAGGTCAATACAGCAGAGTATGCACCCTTAGAGGGAAGCAGTTACCTACCTTTACCTAAGAAAGTACAAGATAAAAAAGCAGTACTCAATATAAGAAATCACGATCAGAAATGCTTCATCTGGTCAATTCTCGCAGCAGTACATCCTGTCACAAACACAGAAAGTCATAATCCAGATCGTGTTAGCCACTATAAGCAGTTTGAACACGAATTAAATATAGATGGTCTCGACTATCCTGTACCTATTTCTCAAATTTCAAGGTTTGAAAAGCAAAATAACATTTCAATTAATGTGTTTGGTTTAGATAACGACGAAATATACCCCCTTCAGATAACTGATCAAAGAAACATGCCCAAGCACGTTAATCTCCTACTCTTTTCAAGAGGAGATGTTAGACATTATTGTTTGATTAGAAATATGAGTCGTCTGTTAGGAGACAGAACATTGCATGATGGGCAAACATATTACTGCAATTACTGTCTCCACGGATTTACTACCCCTGACTTACTTAATGATCATGTACCATACTGTTCTCCACATGGAGCACAAAGAGTAAGTTTCCCAAAGTCAGAAGACAAACAATGGGTTCAGTTTACCAGTATTCATAAGCAGTTGAAAGTACCCTTTGTTATCTATGCTGATTTTGAAAGTTTTGTCCGTCCCATTGATTCATGTACGCCTAACCCAGCTAAGTCATCAACAACACTATATCAAAAGCACGAGGCATGCGGTTACTCTTTTCTGGTAAAATGCGCTCACGACGAGATGTCAAAGCCTGCGGAAGTATATAGGGGGTCTAATGTCATTGACAACTTTTTTAAACGTTTAATACAAGAAGAGAAAGAAATATGCGAACTCTTAAAACAGGTCAAACCTATGAAACTCACTTCAAGTCAAGAAAAGTCATTTGAAATGGCTGAAAATTGTCATATTTGTGAAGAGCCCCTGGATGATGATAGAGTTCGTGATCATGACCATTTGTCTGGAGAGTACAGAGGTGCTGCTCATAGGGACTGTAATTTACAATTCCAGTTCAGGCAAGGGAAAAGTACACATAGTTTTTACATTCCCGTGATTTTTCACAACTTGAGGGGTTACGACATGCACCATTTAATGTCCGCCGCGGGCAAGTTTAAAGACAGACAAATTTCCTGTATTCCTAATAATATGGAAAAATACATTTCCTTTTCAATGGGGAATTTAAGATTTATTGATTCCCTTCAATTTCTGAATGCTTCATTAGATACATTAGTGTCCAATGTAGCAAAAGAAGGCAGCCATAAATTTCCAAACACAACAAAACATTTTCCAGATCCTCTTCATCAAACCCTTCTACTTCGTAAAGGCATATTCCCGTATGACTTCCTCACTTCACCCGATTGCTTTCAGCAACCACATCTACCCACAAAAGAGCAATTCTACAACAAATTAAATGATAATAATGTAAGCTCCGCAAATTATGAGCATGCTCAAAAAGTTTGGCAGACATTTAATATGAACAACTTTGGGGAATACCATGACCTATACTTAAAAACTGATGTTTTGCTTTTGGCAGACGTGTTTGAAAACTTCAGATCATTGTGTTTAGAGTCCTATCACTTAGACCCGGCACATTACTATACGTCCCCTGGGCTTGCATGGGATGCCATGCTTAAAATGACAGGTGTTCAACTGCAGTTACTGGATGACATTGACATGGTCCTCATGATTGAACAGGGAATTAGGGGTGGGGTGTCTATGATTTGTAAAAAATATGCTAAAGCCAACAATCCTCTAGTCTCCGACTTTGATCCGTCAATGCCTAAAACATGGATTTCGTATCTAGATATGAATAATTTGTATGCAGTCAGTATGTCTGACCCTCTGCCAAAGGAAGATTTTACTTGGTTATCAGAAGAACAAATTCAGTCCCTAAATATATCAAACATAGCTGACAATGCACAGACTGGGTATATTTTGGAGGTGGACTTAGACTATCCTAATGATCTACATGACAAAGATAGTGACCTGCCTGTGGCGCCCGAGACATTAACCGTGACAAATGACATGCTGTCCCCGCATTCCCAACTGTTACGTCAGAAGCTAGGGTTAAAAGATAAACCCTGTAAAAAGCTTGTACCTAACTTAAGGTCAAAAACCAAGTATGTGGTCCATTATAGGAATTTGAAATACTATCTGTCACATGGTCTCAAGCTAACAAAAATACATCGCGTTCTAGCGTTCACTCAGTCTGCTTGGCTCAAACCTTACATTGATTTTAACACACAGAAACGTAAGATGGCCACAACTGCATTTGATAAAGACTTTTATAAGTTAATGAATAATGCTGTGTTTGGAAAAACAATGGAAAATATGAGGAAAAGAATTAATGTAGAGCTAATCAACACTTCAAAACGGCTGAGAAAAGTATGTGCCAAACCAAACTTTCAGTCTTTTAAAATATTTAATGATGATTTAGTCGCCGTCAACATGAGAAAGACAAACATTGTCTTAAATAGACCCATTTATGCAGGATTTTGTATTCTAGATCTTTCCAAAATATATATGTACAAGTTCCATTATGAATTCATGAAGGCTAAGTATGGGAATAAAGCTCATCTTCTGTTTACGGATACAGATTCTTTAGCATATGAACTTACGACTGATGACTGGTACTCTGACATGCGTGAAAACCTTGACCTGTTTGATACAAGCAATTTTCCAAAGACACATCCACTTTACAGTGAGACAAACTGCAAGGTCTTGGGGAAAATGAAAGATGAATGTGGCGGCACACCTATTGAATCATTTGTTGGTTTACGCCCAAAAATGTATTCCCTTATGTATGGGGGAATGCAAAAACAGACAGCTAAGGGGGTCAAAAAGTGTGTTATTGAAAAACAGCTGAAACATGAAGCTTATGAAAATTGCTTATTTCAGCATAGTACAATGCAACATTCCATGAACATGATAAGAAGTTACAATCATCAGTTGTATAGTGTTACAGTTTCAAAAGCCACTCTCTCTCCTTATTACAATAAACGGTATGTCTTGGACTCAGGAATAGACACGCTCGCGCATGGCCATTTTAAAATAAAATCATGAACCATTTCAAACCTTGTTTTGAATGTATATTTTAATATGTTTAATTTTCTGTATATATTATGTGAATTATATGTTACTGTATGCTAAAACTACTGTTTGTATTCATACGGTAAATCAATAAACATGATAAATTTAACAAAGTTGTTA